TTTGCCAAGGAGGTTATGTTTTTGGTTGTGTGGGTTAGTCTTAGCACAACTTAAATGCCATCACATTTTGGAGAGAATACGGATTATGACCCAGGTCGAGGAATTTTGTTATTATTGCATCAGCTAACCCTATCGCGAGGGTTAACCGTTATTATTGTTAGAAATTGCGAGATAGAGACTTTTGGCGCTTGAATTAATTTTATTCTATAGCCTTGGCGGAGTTATGCGTTCTCTGAGTGCTTCTAGTTGTTCTTATTAGTAGTTGTACCAGTATATTATTGATGTTCATCATCATCATCTCGTCATCATCATCATCGTCATCGTCATCGTCATCATCATCATCATCATCATCATAATCATCATCATCATCAGTCAGCAGCAACATCGCCATCATCATCATCACCACCATCATCATCATCATCAACATCATCATCATCATCATCATCATCATCATCATCATCATCATCATCATCATCATCATCATCATCATCATCATCATCATCATCATCATCATCATCATCATCGTCATCATCAATCTTCATCATCTTCCCAATCAATGTGCTCACAGCATCCGGGGCTAGATTTTGCTTAAGTAAAATACGTTTATTCGTTCAGGTCGGATGAAAAGGAGTAAAAATGGTTCAGATTTTTTTTTTTTTTTTGTTTGCCAGTGAAGTGGAGAGGCACGCAAACTCCTATTCTTCATCTCCTCTTCGCTCTCCTTTCCCTGTCTCCTCCTTTTCCACTCTCCCTTTCCCCCTTTCCCTTTCCCTTTCTCTCCCCTTTTTCCACTCTTCTCTCCCCCTTTCCCCTCCTCATCTCCCAATTCCTTCTCCTTTTCCCTCTTTCTCCTCCCCCCCTTTCTTTCTCCTTTTCCACTATTTCCCCTCCCCTTCCCTCCTGTGCCCTATCTCCCTATTTCCCGCCCCTTCCCACCTTCTCTCCTGCTTCCTATTTCCCTATTCTCCGCCCTTCTCTTCTTCCCATTTCCCAATTTCCCGCCCCTTCCACCCTCTCCTTCCTATTTCCCCCTCTCCGCCCCCTTCTCTTTTCCCTCCTCCTCCTCATCACTAGACTCCCCCCCCTCCCCGGTCGAATTATGTATCATTACGGAAGCGATTGGAGCGGCACCCCGGTCACGAAGCCACCCACACCCCCTTCCCCCCTTCCCCTTCCCCACCCACACGTCACCGGCCTATCCCCCACTTAATTTGCCTGTCCACCCCCACCACAAGCCCCCACACGCCCTCCACTCATTCGCCGAGCCACTGCCACACCCCCCACAACCGTCCCACAAAACCCACACACCGCCCCCCCCACACCATAAACCCATAGCCCTTCCCCCACCCCCCCGTCCCGACTACCCGGAACAACCATCAGGGCTCTGTTTCGCCCCCATGCTGCTTGTTACTTGGCAACCTCTCGCTGTTCGGGTGTTGCTCGTTAGGTCTTCCCTCTGTCCGTTTTCTCTGTCTCCTTTTCTCTCCTCTTCTTTGCCTTTCATTTGCTCTTCTCCCTTCTCTTTTGCCTTTTACGTGCCCTTTTCCTTTCTCCTCCCCCTTCTTTCCCCTTCTCCTCCCTTCGTTTCCCTTAGCTTTCTTTCACTCCCTTCCCTTCCCTTCCCTTCCCTTCCCTTCTCTTCCTTCTTCCTCTTCTCTTCTTCTTTCTTCCTTCTCTTCTCTTCTCTTCTCTTTCTTCTCTTTCTCTCTCTTCTCTTCTCTCTTCTCTCTCTCTCTCTTCTCTTCTCTTCCTTTCTTCCTTCTCTTCTTTCTTCCCTTCCCTTCCCTTCCCTTCCCTTCCCTTCCCCTTCCCTTCCTTCCTTCCTTCCCTTCCCTTCCCTTCCCTTCTTCCTTCTTCCCTTCCCTTCCCCCTTCCCTTCCCTTCCCCCTTCCCCTCTCCCCTCCCCTCCCCTCCCCCCCCTCATTCAGCGAGACGTGACTGTTAACGCGGCTTAATATTTACTCGCAAACAGAAGCAACAACCGCCAAATAGTTACCTTCTAGAGCGACCAACCAGAGCCTGATTGGCCGCTCAAATAATGCTTCATGACTGTGACGGCTCGTGATTGGTCGTGTGACGTCACGCTCTGACGTCATTAGGTTTCGTTGTTTACAAAGATGCGTCGAGGTTGCTCACTTACACACGCCAGTTGGGCAATTAACTAGCTTAGAGGCGAAATGAAGAGACAGGCAGACAGACAGACACAGACACAGACATAGACACAGACAGACAGACAGACAGACTAATACAACCACTCATGCGTAGAAAATCACCATAGGCCTACGAAAGTGTAACCATTGCATGGTGTTTTGTGACGCGTCATGCATACATACATACATTTGTGGATGCATGGACGTCTATGTACGTATGTGTATGTATGTATGTCAAGACATGTATGTTTGTGCGCGTAAAACCTCCTTTAAATCTTGAATTACATCTGTGAGTTCTGGCCGTGGCAGTAACATCCGGGAAAAAGTGAAAGTTGACAGTCATGTTGAAGAGGACGGAGGAGGAGGAGGAGGAGAACGAAGAGGGAAGGAAGAAGAGAGGAAGGAAGAAGAAGGAGGAAGAGGAGAAGAAGGAGGAGAAGAATGAAGAAGAAAGGAGAAGGAGAAGAAGAAGAAAGAAAAGGAGAAGGAGAGGAGAAGAAGGAGGAAGGAGAAGAAGAAGGAGAAAAGGAGGAGAAAGAAAAATAGAGGGGAGAAGGCAGGGAGGGAAGAGAGAAAGGAAGAAGAAATAGCGAGGAAGGGAGAGAAAAGGAAAGAGAAATAGAGGAAGAGGAGATGGATGACATAGGCCTATATAATGTGAAGCCCGAAGTGTAACCGAATCTGCCATTACCTGCACGCGACGAAATCAGAAGCGGGCGGAGCGAAAACTGCTTGAAATGTGGTGGTAAATAAGAGCTTACGAGATTAGGCCTAGTTCGTTGCGAAAAGAAAAATCCTTAAGTGAGATTGCAGGTTTTAGAGAGAAATGCACTTGCACTTTAAAGATACGGGGAGTATGATTTGTTGTCGGATTGCTGGTGAGTGAGTGAAAGAGAAGAGAAGAGAAGAGAGTGAGAGAGAGTGAGAGTGAGAGTGAGAGTGAGTGAGAGAGTGAGAGTGAGTGAGTGAGTGAGTGAGTGAGTGAGTGAGTGAGTGAGTGAGTGAGTGAGAGTGAGAGTGAGAGTGGAGTGAGAGTGAGAGAGGAGAGAGAGGAGAGAGAGAGAGAGAGAGAGAGAGAGAGAGAGAGAGAGAGGAGGAGAGAGAGAGAGAGAGAGTGCGAGCGAGAGACAGAGACAGAGTGAGTGAGTGAGTGTGTCTGAGCATGCCACTTCATTACATTTTCCCCATAAAGGTGTCTCTAGAGTTGGACAGGGGGGAAGGGAAGAGGAGGGAGGAGGGACGGAGGGGAGGGGAAGAAGGAAGGGGGAAGGAAGGAAGGGAAGGGAAGGGGGGGAGGAAGGAAGGGGAAGGGAAGGGAAGGGGAGGAAGGAAGGAAGGAAGAAGGGGAGGGAAGGGAGGGAGGGAGGGAGGAAGGAAGGGAGGGGAGGGAAAGGGAAGGGAGGGAGGGAGGGAGGAGAGGGAGGAGAAGGGAAGGAAGGGAGGGGAGGGAGGGGAGGGGAGGGGAGGGGAGGGGAAATAATGCCGGGATAATCTTCAATTAATTCATTCGTCGTTCTAGATCCTTCGCCTTTTTTCTTTTTTATTATATATTTATTTTCCTCTTTCTTCTTCTTACTATTATTATTTTTTTATTTATTTTTTTTTGCTTAAATCTAAATTTAAATACGAATTTTTTGTTTTCAGTATGTTAATCAGATGTATTTTTTCTTCATTTTATTTTTTCATATATTCATGTTGGAAATATATATATTTTACATTTTGTAGTGTACTGTATTCGTAACTTTCATGTATATTTTCCACTGATATAATATACTTCGCCCACACACACACACTTGCTTTCATACACTCACTCATAATAACACCCTCCTCTCCTCACCAGCTCCCTCTCTCTACTCTCCCGCCCTCCACTCTCTTCTTTCACTGCCCCTCCCTGCATTCTTCTCTCCTCACTCCTCCATCACACTTCTCCATCAATCTCCTCCATCACACTTCTCCCTTTCTCTCTCTACATCACACTTCTCTCCCTCTCTCTACATCACACCTCCCTTTCTCTCTCCATCACACTTCTCCCTCTGTCTCTCTACATCACACTTCTCCATCTCTCTCTACATCACACCTCCCTTTCTCTCTCCCTCTCTCCTCCATCCCACTCGTCCATCTCACCTCCCCTTCCTCTTTCAGGGCTCTGAAGTGACGTACATCTACTCGTGCATCCTCCTGGCCGCCGTGCCGCTCATCTGCGCAGGCGCCGGCTACGCGACCGTCAAGTTCCAGAACTCCCGCAGGAGGCATTTCCGCACGCTGCAGGAGGAGAACAACAACGGCCGCAGCGTCGACAAGATGATGGTGAAGGAATGGCTGCACCAGGTAGGTTGGGGTCGCGGGAGGCCAGGGAAAGGGAAGGGTCAGTGCGGTCTACAAGTCTGTTAAATGGCGGTAACCGAGTCTGAAGTATTACTTGTTTGTGTTCTTTTCTACCCAATGGGGATCACATTTGGAGGAGCAGGAGTGGTAGCAGGTAGGCGAGTCATTGAGAAAGAAATCGCAGCTAAGAAGGGACTGCGTTAACTTCCTGTTGGCTCCTTGCAGAACCATAAGCGCATCGTGAAGGTGAAGTTCGGTCCGAACCAGGAGATCTGCACGGTGAACCGCAAGGGCGAGAAGCTGCGGCGCGTGAACGTGGCCCACGTGGACACGCTGGTGGTGGAGATCACGCAGGACCAGCGGCGGAAGCCCATGGTGCTGCTGCGGCCGCCGCTCGACCACGACCTCGTCCTGGAGTTCGACACGGAGGCGGCGCGCAACAAGTTCCTGAACAAGCTCGAGCAGTTCCTGATGAGCCTGAAGAAGAGCCTGGACAGGGTGCAGACCAACAAGGAGCAGATGCTGGCCAACGCCGAGACGAAGGAGCGCCGCACGAAGCGCCTCGAGCACTTCTTCCGCGAGGCCTACGAGCTCACCTTCGGCCTCAAGCCCGGCGAGAAGCGCAAGCTCGAGGACGCCGCCAGCGACGTCGTGATGGTGATGCGGACGTCGCTGTCCAAGAAGGAGTTCGCCGGCGCGCTCGGCATGAAGCCCGACGACATCTTCGTGCGCCGCATGTTCAACATCGTCGACAAGGATGGCGACGGACGCATCTCCTTCCAGGAATTCCTGGACACCGTGGTGCTCTTCAGCAAGGGCTCCACCGACGACAAGCTGCGCATCATCTTCGACATGTGCGACAACGACCGAAACGGCGTCATCGACAAGACCGAGCTCTCCGAGATGCTCCGCTCGCTGGTGGAGATCGCCAAGACCAACACGGTCAGCAACGAGGAGGTAAGACCTTCGGGGAGGGGCAGAGGTGCCGGGAGGGGAAGGAGGGGAAACAAGAATGTAACCGGGAGGGGAAGGGCTACTGGGACTAGAACCGGGAAGGGTAAGGGGAAGGATAACTAAGAGGTACCGGGATTGGGGCTGAGGTGTGAAGTGGCAAGGGTTCCAGAAATGGGACCAGAAGGTGGAGAGGGAACTGGAACCGGGAAAGAAAAGGCAGGGGCAGTGGGACTGGGACTAGGCGGAGGAGGAGGAGGCAAAGGAGTAACTACGAAGAAGGGGGAAGCTATGAGGAGCTTCCATGGTCAAAGACGGTCACAGCACCGTGGTTCCCTTTCCATTGCATGCCATTACCCCCTATCGAGAGACCGCCCTCAGCCAACCTCTGCTTCTGCGTCCCACAGGTCGAGGAGCTGATCAACGGCATGTTCAGCTCGTCGGGCATCAACCACAAGGAATCGCTCACCTACGACGACTTCAAGCTGATGATGCGCGAGTACAAGGGAGACTTCATCGCCATCGGCCTCGACTGCAAGGGCGCCAAGCAGAACTTCCTCGACACGTCCACCAACGTCGCCAGGTAGGACGGGTGGAAAGAGCGTCGTTTAGACGGGCTCCTCGTCTGTCTTCTCCCCTTTTTTTTTCCCCAGTTTGAAATCGTCGTTCTTTCTTCTTTTGCTCTTTCCCCTTTTAGAACCTCCTATAAATACTTTTTCACGCCTCTTTGGTGACGTGTTCTGGCGCGGGAACAGGTGGGGTTGGGAAGCAGTTTCGGGAACCTTGTTGCCGTCGAGGTCGCTCTTTGTTCGCCGTGGAACGTGGGAGAGGAGAGGGCTGTAGCAATAATGTTAAGGTGATAATAAAGTAATAATGAAAATACCTGCAATAGTGATGATGATATTGATAATGATGATAATTATGATATTAAAGAAATAATAATGATAAAAATAATAAGAATAAGAATCACATAGATCAAAGTGATAAAGATAGTAATAAGATAAAACGGAGGAAGAGCCGGAGGAGAGCGCAGGCGGGGGGGGGAGAGGGTAGTAGAAGGGAAGGCCAGAGGGAAGGGACTAGGAGGGGGGAGGGGGGCCAGGGCGACGCGAAGACGTTTGCTCGACGCCCTTTTCTCGTCCTGAACGCGTTGGAAGCAAGGCGTGCTTTTGGTCAGTCTTCATCATCATTGATCTTGCCGTCATCTAGTGTGGTCGCTCTATCACCTTCACTATCCGTCTTAATGATTATTTCGGTTAGTTCCATCCCGTTTTCTGTCGGTGATTCACGCAGAGCTTTGGAGTCGGGGCACTAAACTATTTTGTTTTATAGTTAGTGTGATTTTTTTGGGAAATGCATTCATATTGTAGATATAGAAATACTTTTTAAAAAATTTTCTCATGCCCTTGACCTTAAGGAGAATCTCCTGGGTCTCGAACCTGTTCCCTCGACGTCAGATGACCTCTTTTCGCGACCTGTGATAGACCATGGCTCACCCTATCCTGCATTAACCTAAGGTCACCTTTGTTCTCTCTTTCCTCGTCCTTCTCTTCTAACCCATTTTTAAAAATAACCCCTGTGCTAACCCCCCAAAAAGAGACGATTAGATTTTGTACTAAACCCATTACCCATAGCTTATAACCCATAGATTATAACCCATAACCCATAGCCAAGGTAGCATAAAACATTTATTTAGGCATGTACGAGCTTGTGTGTGTTTAATTCTTTTTTTCTTAACGCTAACGAAACTAACCTGTGCTGACCTAACCCTGCTTGTGTGACCTCAACCAACGGCGCTGACACTAACCCTTCTGCTGCTGACAACCGCTCGTGCTGACTACTCCCGATGCTGACATAACCCCTGGTGTGCGTGCTGACACCTCGGACCTCCTGCTCCACCACCGCCGCAGCAAGAGGTACAGCCACGGTACACCCATGGTACACACACGGTACAGGGCGAGGGCGTCGAGGTTCGAGTACCTCCTCCGCCCGAGCTGATTGCATGGCGGGTGTTGTTGGGTGTCCGGTGTACTTGTCGACTTTCGTAGTTCATTCTCGACGAGTGTTATTTTTGTTCTTTACGTATTCATTTGTTGATTTATGTCTTTTTTTATTTATGTCTTTTTTGGTTCATTTACTGTTTTTTATTGTTCATTTATTCATTTGTTAATTTATGTTTTTTTTTTAGTTCATTCACTGTCTCGATGAGTGTTTTTGTATTATTAATTTATTAATTTGTTAAGTTATGGTGTTTTTTAATCACGAGTGACGATATATAACATGGATGTATATTTTTTTCACGATCGTAGGATAAGTTACACGAATATGCAATCCAGTAAAGCGACTCGTCACTATTTTTTAATGAATCAGAGAAATTCTTAAGGACATGAGGAACTTTAATGCTCAAGTTGGAGGAACTTGTTATGTCATAGAACTAAAATTAAGTCTTAAATAAACCAAGGGGATGTGGTAATTGCGACATGATATCGTACTTTTGTAAATGGAAATAAAAAAAATGAGGATGAGGTAGAAGTAAAAGACGGTAATATAATAGAGTACATGAGATAAAATGGGAGGTTTTGTAAATAGGGACAAGGGGAAAAGTCTTAAGAAATATGTAGGAATAAAAACTCGTGATCTTGAAGTGAAAATGGAAATGATAATGGAAATAGATATCTAGAAATTTGCAAACAAGAAGTAGTAGGATGAATAAACTAACAGATTGTGCGTAGCCGTATTAAGGTATTTCCGCAGACGTGACCGCGAACAAATACAAATTGATATTAATCTCTCTCTCTCTCTCTCTCTCTCTCTCTCTCTCTCTCTCTCTCTCTCTCTCTCTCTCTCTCTCTCTCTCTCTCTCTCTCTCTCTCTCCTCTTTCCCTTTCCCTCTCCCTCTCCCTCCCCTTTCCCTCACCCTCCCTCCCTAAATCTCTACCCCTCTCTCTCCCAATCTCGCTCTTTCTCCCTCTCTCCCTCTTTCTCCCTCTCCCTCCCTCTTTCTCCCTCAGGATGGCGAGCTTCCACATCTCCGAGGTCATGAACAGGAACCAGCACTGGATGATGAAGAAGTACAACTCCCTGGCGACCTTCCTGGAAGAGAACAGGCAGAACGTTTTCTACCTTTTCGTCTTCTACGTGATCACCATTGCTCTGTTCTGCGAGCGGTTCATACGTGAGTTTTGAGAACGAGGTTATGGGGTTATGATAATGGATGTTGTTATTGCCGTTTTTTTTATGATGCTATACTTTATATTTAAAAGGTATACGTTTTTAGTATCGTTGTTATATGTTTATTATTTATATGTACCCATCCATCCACCTATCTATCTACCCACTCACGCACCTATCCACCCATCCATCCATCCGCCCCTCCCTCTTCCCTCCTCTCTCCATCCACCCATCCATTAATCCATTCCCTACCTCTCCGCAGACTACTCCTTCATGGCGGAGCACACCGACCTCCGACACATCATGGGCGTGGGCATCGCCATCACGAGGGGCGCCGCCGCTTCCCTGTCCTTCTGCTACTCGCTGCTTCTGCTCACGATGTCCAGGAACCTCATCACCAAGCTCAAGGACTTCAGTTTCCAGCAGTACATTCCTCTGGACTCGCACATCCAGGTGGGTTTTCGGCTCGTGCTGTGTTGCGACGTCAGGTGCAGGTGCTGCCTTTTTGTGTGGTATTGTGTTCTCATAAATGGGATGATTGTCTTTAATGAGAATTTGTGTCTTTTTTAAGGAGGGCACGATTTTTTAAAAAGATTTTGTTTGCATATTTTATTATAACCTAGGCATTTATCCTGATAAACATTAGGATTTTTGATGCTATGCTGTCGGTTCCGCTTAAACTCTGATGATTTTACGTCCAAATCCGTTTTCTCTCCATCCGCGAACAGTTCCACAAGATCGTCGCGTGCACGGCGCTGTTCTTCAGTATTCTTCACAGCTGCGGCCACTTGGTCAACTTCTACCACGTTTCGACGCAGCCGGTGGAGAACCTCAGGTGTCTGACGCAGGAAATCTCCTTCGCCTCCGACCAGAAGCCGACCGTGGGCTACTGGCTCTTCCAGACCATCACAGGTGGGTGCTCGGGGCGGCGCTGTGTCGTCGGCAGGGCTTGGGGGGGGATTCGCGTCTGTAATGTTGGACGGAATGTATTTTAATTTTCTAGAGTTAAAGTGGGCAAAGTGGGTGTTTGCAAGCTATCGGTTTCACGAGGTCACACTTTTTTATTTCTACTCTAGCTTTGACAAACAACAATAATATCAACGTGGCCAACGTATAACACGTTACTGTCCCTAACAGGTCTGACTGGCGTAATGCTGTTCATTATCATGTGCATCATCTTCATCTTCGCGCACCCGATCATACGAAGGAAGGCGTACAAGTTCTTCTGGGCTGCACATCAGCTCTACATCCTGCTTTACATCCTCAGTCTGCTGCACGGACTTGCTCGTCTCACGGGGGCACCCAGGTTCGTATCGACGCCCCTTTTCGCTTTCCCTTTTGTTCTGTTACATATTCTGTTATTATCGTGTTTGTGGATCTGGATTTAGGGATATATATCACTG